CCACTAAACTCAAGAGTTCGTCAAACTCAGTGATAGTTAAGTGCGTGTCATCTGATTCGCTATTATTTGTCTTTCGAGGCAAAAGACATGTCCAGAGATGCTCTCGACGGCAGTCGATGGCCGCGGTCTTGACTGCTTCGGTCAGTTGTGTCTGAGTCTCGTTAGCCCTGTCCTGAAGGATCTGCAACATCATAGTCTCATGGCTGCTAAAGTATCCCAAATAAGTGATCTCTTCGTCACAAATGCCGGTCGAAGTGGACAACAATGGTATGGATTTGGGCGCGAATTTGTCCACTGGTTTAGTGATCATTACACTGGAAGTGCTAACTGTTATCTCTCTCGTGCTTTGAAATGAATTGTCAGTAAACGATCCGTCACTCAGATTGGGATCAGTAATAGTACTACTCTTTCGGGAATGGGTTTCACTCGATGGTTGAGACGAATAAAGACGAATGGGTTTAAAGAATCCCTTAGAGTTGGGACCGAAATGACTGCTAAACCGTTTGGGAAACAATTCTCTTTGACTCGTCAACAGAACAAAGAATTTGAGAGAAAGTGTGTTATTATTGTTGCAGAAGTCGTGAGTTATAAGAACTCCGACATCAAAGTTGTCGACCTGTCGGATGTCATTGGTGTCCTTATAGGGCACTCTATGGCTCGATAGCTCCACCAATACATACTCTGTAGTCTATGTGCAATAAACTAGAGTTATATTCTGTTAACACATATAATACTTGAAATGAATACCAATTCGATGTTATCTTCGGAAGAAAGGGGAGAATTCATGCGAAAGACTTTCATTCCATACAATTCGTTGTGACTTATGATGTAATTATACAACTGTTGGGACGGCACACAAATGTTGGGAATCACTATTTGGCCTACAATTACAAAAACTCAATTATGGTTCTTATTCTACTTGTCACACAACTTTTTCATGGTCTTATCTGTATTAACGCGCGTATCAACCCACGGAAAACCATCATGAATTACTTTAGTAGCTCTTTACTACAGTTTACCATTGCCTGGCGGAATATGAGTTGTCGACCAGAGATGTACGAGTGGATTGTCCTCAAGTGATAGTCGTATGTGAATGAATGCAAATGCATTGTCACCTTAATCTTATCCAATTCATCCAAAAAGGTTTGCGACAACTTTTCCATATCAATACAACAATGAATTAAAATAATTTCACAAATATTTCTAAAAGTTATACCGAAGTGTCAACTGATCTCTTATTTCGGGAGCAAATGTCGAATCTCTTGCCATCAAATGAATATAAATGGCTGTAGACGTAGGGCTCACAGAATCCCACCTCAAACACCAGTAAACCCCCTAATAATGACTTAATTAAGAAGAAGCGCTCGTTTTCACCCTTTGAACTGAACTTTCGGTTCGCAAACGTCTTATTCATTAGTTTATAATTTTCTGCATTTGATCTCTGCTTCGGAACTGTTGACGTAATCTTATGCGATCTCATCTGAATGGCACCAAACCCTAGTGTTTGTAAGTATTGCACATATTCTTGAATATAATGGGAACAGACAGCAAAATGCCAGCTCTCATCCGCATTAGTCTTAGGCGCCGGACCACTGACTGGCGGACCACTTAACCTTCTGTTCCGATTAAAACCAATATCTGTTTCGTCTGATTTCTGAACATAACCGCCCGACGCATGCCTTAAACGTTGCTTTTCATTCACCAAAACTTCTTTGTGATTGTCTTCCATATTATCCACAGTCTGTAAGGAATGGTCTCTAACTGGAGATACAGTTAGTCTCCATTTGGGACTAAAGAGAAGTGGTGTCAAACAGTAGTGATTGAGTCGTCCGATATGTTTGACTTGTTTAATAATTTTATCCAAAACTGGATTGAAGTGAAGTTTGATTCCCTGAATGTGCCATATCTTTGATAACTCTTGCAATTCTGGTGGCAATTAAACAAATTGTATTCATTTAGATAACAAGTCAATTAATAAATGATACACACCTTTGGATTGATATGTGTGACACAATTCAATTTGCTTTCCATATCTATTGATTAAGTCTTTGACTTTTGAGAGATTTGTTGACTCAATTCGAGTCAAATTAGAGACGTTTAGAAATGATTTCGAGAGACTAAACGAGCGATTATTCTGTGGAAACATTTTCTTGTTTTGTGAATATTCCTGAGCGGCGGAAGTATTGCACATATTCTTGAATATAATGGGAACAGACAGCAAAATGCCAGCTCTCATCCGCATTAGTCTTAGGCGCCGGACCACTGACTGGCGGACCACTTAACCTTCTGTTCCGATTAAAACCAATGTCGGTTTCGTCTGATTTCTGAACATAACCGCCCGACGCATGCCTTAAACGTTGCTTTTCATTCACCAAAACTTCTTTGTGATTGTCTTCCATATTATCCACAGTCTGTAAGGAATGATCTCTAACTGGAGATACAGTTAGTCTCCATTTGGGACTAAAGAGAAGTGGTGTCAAACAGTAGTGATTGAGTCGTCCGATATGTTTGACTTGTTTTATAATTTTATCCAAAACTGGATTGAAGTGAAGTTTGATTCCCTGAATGTGCCATATCTTTGATAACTCTTGCAATTCTGGTGGCAATTAAACAAATTGTATTAATTTAGATAACAATAAATGATACACACCTTTGGATTGATATGTGTGACACAATTCAATTTGCTTTCCATATCTATTGATTAAGTCTTTCACTTTTGAGAGATTTGTTGACTCAATTCGAGTCAAATTAGAGACGTTTAGAAATGATTTCGAGAGACTAAACGAGCGATTATTCTGTGGAAACATTTTCTTGTTTTGTGAATATTCCTGAGCGGCGGCCACCGGGTTGTTGTGTTTTATGAGAAGCTCTATGTTCTCGTTCATAGACGCCGAGAAACTATTAAATCTTTGCTTTTGATTCTTGAAATATTGGGTCAGATTAGCGCCGTTATCCACACCCCTTGTTTTCAGAGTAGTTGGAAATGGATTAACGAATTGATTAGAGTTTCTTCGTCTGTGCGGCTGATTCTGAAAGATTCCGGCCTTTTGTGAGATAATCGACTGAAGGAAAGATCCCCTCGAGTTATGCCACGAGACTATGTTCGACAGGTTCTTACAGATGTTGGTTAAGTACTCATTGGACCAGTTGTACAGATAAAGTGTTATCACTTTGTCCTCAATGTATAGCAACAAAAACTTCTGGCGCGGGGCTACACATGTCTGGGTGTCAATCGACACGTTCTTGTTTTCGGAAAGGTTTGAGTTTAGACTCGAATTACTAATGGCTAACACGGGTCTCGTGGGCGTCGGTTCACTCAGTGTCTGAGCCCTATTGTCCTGACCGTTAATATTACACAAATGGGGCGCAAATCGGAGTTTCGGTCTTTCGTTTCGAGTTTGCAAATAATTATCAAAACATGAATTATTTTCTGCATTGGATTTGTTGGTCGACCACAGCTTTTCGTGTCGAACCAAAAGTATAATATTTGTTATGCTTTCAAACTCAACGTTTTGGTCCAAGAGATCGAATTCATTGCACGGAATATATAGGAAATCACTCGACTTTTTGAAGCCATTCAAAATGGTGTGGGAACTCATATTTTGGATGTAATTCTTAAATTCATTGATCACATTAGGAATCGAGTGCCTCATTGTCACCGAATACTGTTCCTTAACAACTGATATCACTTCCAAATGCTTACCGTAATCGAGCCACGGCTTAACCAATAGATTCAAAACACACGATAAGTTAGTCATCTCTTCAGTATTAAAGTCCTCGTAGTTATCATTGGGTTCGGAGTTGACTCTCATTGTTGGCTGCTTTGGACTTTCGGACATTTTCTTATTATATTCGGGAAACTTAAAGAAGTTCTCATTCGACAGATTCGACAGTTTGTTAGTCTTCTCCAAAAGGGTTTTAAAAATGTTTGGCACCGATGAAGACATATCTCTTGATATCTCCAAACGCTTCAATGGATTCATTTGGGTCTCAATGGCTGACCTACCAGTCCGTCGGCCTAAATGGTTAACGAGTTGTAAGAAAGTAAACTCATGAAAACAATTAAGACAAACCTCTGGAGGCATTGACAACGTTTTTGGGAGTCGATGGCTCACTAATGCTGATTGAATTTGACATTATGTTTGAGAATTCAATTTCATTGCTCGGCGAAGCCCTCAATATTTTAAACTCGAGAGTCAGGTCCCAAATGGCGTGTCTTATGGATAATTCAAGTCTTTTGCTGAGTTGTTGCAAATCTATTTTGCCGACACTCCAGATCTGGAATTGAATCAAAGAGGTGTCGCCGGAACCGTATGACCCATAATATCGCTCACATTTAGTCACTTCATCGAAACAACCGGCCAGTAATGGCTTCAGTTCTGACTGACCAACACTTCGCTGACCAGGACATGAGTCATGCGGTAATGGATCTCCTTTGCTATTAACTAGAGATAAGATAATACATGCGATCCCTTTGCTATCAGAACCAAATGATTGCTGTCTATAATAGAGAAAAGTATCGCAATCCTTGGTTTCGATTGATTCGTTAGAAGTGAAAGTCTGGAAAATAATACTTTTATCAATAAAATACAAGACATTATTG